GCCTTCTTTAAAATTCAATGCATATGTAAAGAAATATACGGTAACCCGAATTTACCACACTCGCAAAATCGCACACAGCCAACCATACACCCAGTATGGTATCGCGATTCGTGATTTTGCGCTATCATACTGGGTGTATGGTCGGCTGTGTGCGATTTTGCGAGTGTGGTAAAATCGCATAACAGCAAAATCGCATAACAGCCGAGCATACACCCAGCAGCGCTGCTGAGGCCTGAACGGTATGTGGAATGAAGTGGGCAGGCATCGGGAGGCCACTATGGCACAGGGCAAGCACTATGGGCAGTCTATCTGAAGTGTACCTGGCGTATAAGACGACCCCCCACTTGGAGGCATATTTTTCAGGGCCAAAAAATCGTCTTATACGCCGGCAAATACGGTATGTAAGCGAGGCGCATGGATTGGTTGCTTCCCACAGAAGCCAGGAACCCAGGTACATGACCTTGTCCAGGAATCCAACGGGCGACCCTTACTTAGGTCCTTGGGCCGAAGCTCTAACCAAACCGACCAGGGCATGAACACCTTCTAAAAGTACATTTTAAAATCGTGGTCTGGGGCTTAGTGATCAGGTTAGCTGGGCCTCAGCTTCCTGTCCTATTGGGCCCTGGGCTCTCTAGCATTGCCCGGTTCCTTCATGCTAACCTGGAGCGCTAGTCCTCAATTTCCTGTATTCCATGCTGGGGAGCCCTTGAGTAAGGCACACAATATCAGATTCCTTTCCTGCTCTCAGACTTCTGCTAAAGCTCCATGATCATGGCCTTTTGCAAAAAAAAAGAAAAACTGAGACACCCGTCCCCATCACCACCTTTAAGTGACCTTCACTTCCACAACCACGCAAAACCCAACCCGAAACCTTCTTCACATCTCTATTCAGCAGAACCAAGCCCACCCACCGCTCCGTGGAACTGCTGTGACGTCACCGCGGAGAAACGCATGCGCCGGGCCTGGAGGCCCTTTTCCGCTCTTTTTCCAATGAAGCTCGGGCGTCCGCGGGTGAGACGAGAGAACTACAATTCCCAGCGTCCTGTGCGGTGCGGGAGAAGGGAGGTTGGGACCGTGGTTAAGAGGCTCCGGAGGATAGCGGGCCCGAGCCCGCCGCTCCTCCTTCTAGCGGTTTTG